TGTATGTTGAAAGCTAAAAGTATGCCCAAGTAATTTTGGGCCGAAGCTGTTTCTTGTGCAGTTTATTTGAACAACAGGTCTCCAACAAGAAATGTTAGAGATCAAACCCCTCAAGAAGCATGGAGTGGAAGAAAGCCAAGTGTCAAACATTTGAGAATCTTTGGGAGCATAGCATATGCTCATGTGCCACAGCAAGGGAGAGCGAAGCTTGACGATCGAAGTGTCAAGCATGTGTTTGTTGGCTATAATACAAGTTCAAAAGGCTACAAGTTATACAACCCAAGCAGCGGTAAGGTGGTGGTAAGTCGCGATGTTGAATTTGATGAAGAATTGGCATGGGATTGGGAAGCTCAGGAAGAAACTTCATATGATTTTCTTCCATATTTTGGTGATGAAGAAGAACCAGAGACCGTGGAACCTGTGTAGGATACAACTCCACCTCCTTCTCCAACCAATGTTGCATCTCCCTCTTCTCATGAAAGTTCAAATGAACAACCGCAAAGGACAAGGAGTATTCAAGAGCTCTATGAGGACACAGAAGAAGTTACTAATTTTGATTTTTTATGTTGTCTCTTTGCTGACAGTGAACCAATGAACTTTGATGAAGCTATTAGAAACAAAAAGTGGAGACAAGCCATGGAGGAGGAGATTGAGTCAATAGAGAAGAACAACACTTGGGAGTTAACAACTCTTCCTAAGGGTCATCGAGCAATTGGAGTGAAATGGGTATACAAAATAAAGAAGAATGCTGATGGAGATGTGAAATACAAGGCACGACTTGTGGCTAAAGGCTACAAGCAAAGGCAATGCATTGACTATGAAGAAGTCTATGCACCTGTTGCCCGCATGGAGACGATTCGTTTGCTGATCTCTTTGGCGGCGCAATTGAAGTGGAAGATCCATCAACTAGATGTCAAGTTAGCCTTCTTGAATGGCTATCTTGAAGAAGAAGTCTATGTTGAACAACCATTGGGCTTCGTGGTAAAAAACCATGAAGATAAAGTGTTGCGGTCAAAGAAAGCTTTATATGGATTAAAGCAAGCCCCACGAGCATGGAATAGTTGCATCGACAAGTATTTTCAAGACAATGAGTTTAGTCGTTGTCTCTATGAATATGCTCTTTACCTTAAAGTTCATACTAATGGAGATATCTTACTTGTTTGTCTTTATGTTGATGATCTTATTTTCACGGGCAATAACTCAAGTTTGTTTGAAGCTTTTAAGAAAGATATGTCCCGTGAGTTTGAGATGACAGACGTAGGGCTCATGTCATACTACCTGGGCCTAGAAGTGAAGCAGATGGAGGATGGAATTTTTATCTCTCAAGAAAGCTATACAAAAGAGATATTGAAGAAGTTCAACATGCTCGATTGCAACCCCGTGAACACACCGATGGAAAGTGGGACAAAATTGACCAAGTTTGATGAAGGAGAAAAAGTGGATCCCACATTTTTCAAAAGTCTTGTGGGAAGTTTGAGGTACTTGACTTGTACCAGGCCACATATACTCTTTGCAGTTGGAGTAGTAAGCCGCTTCATGAAGGCTCCTAGCTCCACTCACTTGAAAGTCGCTAGAAGAATTCTTCGCTACCTAAAAGGTACGACTGACTTTGGGCTATTTTATTCCTCTTCTAGTGATTTCGACCTTATGGGATTTTGTGATAGTGATTATGCGGGAGATATTGATGATAGAAAAAGTACAACTGGTTTTGTATTTTTCTTGGGTGATTCTGTTATTTCTTGGAGTTCAAAGAAACAGTCCATAGTTACTCTCTCGACTTGTGAAGCTGAATATATAGGAGCAACATCATGTATATGTCATGCTATTTGGCTGAGAAGATTGTTGAAGGAGCTCAATTTACCACAAATTGAAGCTACAGAGATTTGTATTGACAACAAATCCGCACAGGCACTCGCGAAGAATCCAGTGTATCATGATCGAAGCAAGCATATTGATACAAGGTATCACTTCATCAGAGAAAGCATTGCCAAGAAGGAAGTCGAGCTCAAGTATGTGAAATCTCATGACCAAGTTGCAGATATTTTCACAAAGCCTCTCAAATTTGAAGATTTCCAAAGATTGAGATCATGTCTTGGAATGAAGAGGAAAAATCAAAATTAAGGGAGAGATTTGTGGGGCCCATATTAAATAAATAAAGAAAAAAACTAAAGGAAAAATGTGATTGGTGGAAAAGAAAGCAATGGTAGGCGGCAATTGGTTTTGATAGAACTATTGGTTTTGGTATTGCAAATTGCATATGCTAACATTCTGATTGGTTGGTTCAACGGTGGAGGCTTCTATATAAGGAGCTTCAATTCTCTTATTTCAGTACACCAAATCAAAGAGAGCGCAATAGAGCGTAGAGAGAGTAATCCACAGATTGTAGTCTATGAGATAAATAGTAAGTGGGAGTAATATTGTAGTGAGGTGTTTAAAATAAAGAGTGTTATTTCTTTCGAATGTGTAGTAGTCTCTTGATACTACTAAGTTATAATATTATAGTGGTAATATTGCTCTGCTCGGGTATTGTATTTTACCCCGTTAAAATATCTGGTGTCATTGTTACTCTCTTGTGTTATTGTTATTTACCGTGGGTATTATTCCTGGGCGGGATTTATTTATTCCCAACAGATATCACAAGATATGGTCTTCCATCAGTCATCCCAGGAGATAATTGGTAATAGTTACAGGAAATACATCATCCATCGTACATTTGAAGGTAATATAATGCAGGAAAGGAGTATTAAAAACATCGTCCACCAAACATCTGTTTTTGTTAACTCCAAAATCAAAATATGAATGAAGTAAAAGCTCTTTAAAAGAGAAATACTTGTGATACAGTAAACATGATTATACGTTTGAAAGGAAATACAATGCAGAAGAGGAGTAATTTATAACATTGTCTGCAAAGGAGTAACTGAAAAATCTTTCACCGTCCGCGAAGGACTATTTTGTTACTCCAGAATGAGAATATGAATGAAGAAAATAAGCTGTTCCCAAATAGAAAAACTTGTTATCCATTCTTCTGAGAGAAGAAATATAAAAACACTTGTTGGAATTATTTCTGCATGGTCAGGTAAGAATAAAGGTACAGACTTATTGCACCAAATATAAATGTCTGCATTGTTATTTATCAGATTAGAAATATTAAGCTAAAGTCAAGAAACATTGCGTATTAGTCAAGATGACAATTCAAAAGGAAGCAAATAAGGCACAGCCATAAAAGAAAAGAAAAATCAAATAGAATATTAGATTGCTCCTTACAGGCTACACCCATCATTTTAGTCCTTAGTCTTGGAATTTCACGTTTAACTCATTTTTGTCCCCATGAAGGAGCTTTCCGCTTGCCAGTTCTAACACATGGTTACAGCAACAGGTTTATTACAACCCTATGACTCAATATTCTAAAAGCAATGTAGAAGCTATATACTTACAAGTTGTCTGTTATAAAGAAAAGGTCTACCGCATGGCCATCCGGAGTTTTTGTCACTTTTACCCTTTGGATGGTAAGCTCGAGCTCAGAGAGAACTTGGTTAACATCTAGCATCATCATGCAATAGCATTAGAAGAGAGCATTAAATTAATAATCATAATCTGTGTACGAAGATTTGTCACTACCATGTAATAATCCTCTTCGGTCTGAGCTACAAAATGTCAACAAGTAAACAGGAGAAGAAATTGCGTGTGGCGATGGTTGGTTCAAATAAAATGAATCAGAGCATGATGGGCAAACTGATACAAGGCGCTCTTTCAAATTCTTCCATCTTACTTTATATGAGGAAGACTGAGGAACCACCCATAACACCACATAGCACCATATCCCATCCGTTGAAACATCTGATTCACAGAAACATGGGGCAATTAGTTAAAGATGTACCAGTAGAGAAAAGAGAAATATATTTTATTTAGTTGTAGAGAGAAGGAGCGATAGGTAGGTATTTGAATTAGCAAGAATTAGCCGATTGCAATAGCTCTAACAGGGAATAAGAAAACTAAATCTGTGGATAAAAAATCGGCCAGCTGAAATTGCACAATTTGGTAGATGCTGCCAGTAACTTTGACTTTAACCATCTGGAGTAATAAAAAACAAAAATGATATGGCTACTTCATACACAAATGCAACACACACACACACACACACACACACATATATATATATATATATATATATATATATATATATATATATATATATATCTTCTCTGTGTGTGCATAACACAGAAGATAAGGAAATTCGCGATAGAACTGTATAATGCTTGCACAAATGCTACCAATTGAAATGTTGGACATTAAGCGTTTGGCTGAAAAATGTTTTCGCTGAAGAAATCATATTACAGTGCTTGGTTTGTAGACATAAACTTTAATTGCATACCAGGATCTTGAACATGATAATCTTACATACAATCGTCATAGAAAACATACCTAAAGCGGAATCCATTATCGTGAAGCAGAAGCGTTAATCAGTAAATTGGTTTCTCACCCCTTGCCCTAGCTTTCGTTACTGCCGCCTTTAGTGATGGAAGAAAGAAAATAAAATACGGTAACCCTAATGGGTGGGGGAGGACCAATTTATAGAGGTACTCACTTAATCTGATACGTCCATCAAGTAACCAATCGGACGGATGAGATTTGATAATTAATTAAATATTAATTATGGGCCTTAAACCTATTGAGCCACATACACGTAGGAAAAATAACTTACATTCTCCCACTTGGCCCAATAATCACATAATATTAATATTTAATATAGGAACATTAGTTTTGCATAAACAAATCTCTTCTATAATGTCCATCATAAATACCATAATACGATAAACTACTAAATGTGAGTTATGGCGGTTATATATAATTTGTATACATACTCCCTTCCATATACTACAACATTAGCAACTCATTGTACCAGGTCCATAAGCTATAAAATATTATGGTCCACAATAATGTCTCATTGAGACTTATCCTGTAATATCTCAAAACAATAATGTGTACACCATTATGAGAAACATGAAATCATTAATGTATATCAGAAACATATAAATGAGCTCAGAGTGTCAAAACATCATAAATACATCAATCATAAATACAGCCAAGACCCATTCTATGAACATGTTCTTTAAATATCTTTGGTTGTAAACCTTTCATTAACGGATCTGCAATCATGAGATCAGTTCTAATATGCTCCTCTTTGTTTATGAACTTCCTCCTCGACGGTAAAGTACTTTAATTCCATATGTTTGGCACCTTTGGAGTACTTATCGTTCTTGGAGAAGAACACTGCTGCAGAATTATCACAGTAAATTTTCAGCGGCTTGGTAATGGTATCGACAACCCCAAGTCCTGAAATAAAGTTTCGCAGCCATAATGCATGAATTGTGGCTTCAAAACATGCCACAAATTCTGCTTCCATCGTGGATGTAGCAATGAAAAACTGTTTGGCACTCTTCCACGATATTGCTCCTTCAGCTAATTGAACAAATAACCAAACGTAGATTTTCTAGTGTCAATACATCCAGCGAGATCTGAATCCGAGTATCCAACAACTTCCAAATGCTTGGATCTCCTATACATGAGCACGTAATCCTTCTTTCCTTTCAGGTACCTCAAAACTTTCTTTGAGGCTTTCCAGTGATCAATTCCTGGGTTACTCTGATATCTTCCTAACATTCCGACCGCAAAACTAATATCCGGTCTTGTGCAAGTCTGAGCATACATCAGACTACCAACAATTGAAGAGTAAGGAATTGATTCCATTTCCTTTCGTTCTACATCATTCTTAGGGCATTGCATGAGACTAAATTTGTCCCCCTTTTNATCACTTCATCAGAGAATGCATTGCCAAGAAGGAAATCGAGCTCAAATATGTGAAGTCTCATGATCAAGTCGCAGATATCTTCACAAAGCCTCTCAAGTTTGAAGATTTCCAGAGATTGAGATCAAGAATTGGAATGAAGAAGAAAAATCAAAATTAAAGGAGAGATTTGTGGGACCAGCCCCAAATTAAAAAAAATAGAAAATAACAAGTTGCAATGGCAACTTGTGTACAATAAGGGCGGCTGGAAAAAGGTTGCAAATTGCAATCAAAATAATGTGTGGACGATGCAAATTGCAAAGAACCAATCAATTTGATTGGTTGAGAGGTTGGCAACTTTGCCTATAAATAGAGATGCTTCCTTCTCTGTTAAACACACCAAATCAGAGAGAGAGCGCAATAGAGCGTAGAGAGAGTAATCCACAGATTGTAGTCTGTGAGATAAATAGTAAGTGGGAGTAATATTGTAGTGAGGTGTTTTAAATAAAGAGTGTTATTTCTTTCGAAGTTGTAGTAGTCTCTTGATACTACTAAGTTATAATATTATAGTGGTAATATTGCTCTGCTCGGGTATTGTATTTTACCCCGTTAAAATATCTGGTGTCATTGTTACTCTCTTGTGTTATTGTTATTTACCGTGGATATTATTCCTGGGCGGGATATTATTTTATTCCCAACATCCCAGTGGGTATATATCAAAAATCTTAACGGTTTTCATTCTTACGAGTAAGTTTTCATATATTGTAACACTTTTAATCATACAATAACCTCTCTTGATTACTACTTTCTTATCTTACCTACTTCTCTTAGGCCTTTATATACCTCTTTCTTTAGTGTTTCTAAGTCCTATATAATTGGAATGCTATTTTTTGGTATTTTTTTGTCATTGTTTACTGAAAAATCGTTATTCAGATTATTAGTGAACAATTGATGTGGAAGTAAGGATTATTGGTAGAGTTGCTTTTAAATTTCTGTTTTTACCTGGGGTTTTTATATTTTTATTGTGTCTACTGGTTTATGCTTTTCTATACACTCATTTCAGCCATAATATCATGGTGGTCAGAATTCCATATAAAAAGTTTCTCTCTGGTATTGCCTCTTATCCCTTACTTCTTTATGGGAAAATTGGAAGAGTAAAAAGAAATAGTGTGAAGGAGGAAAAAAAGGCTGAAAGCATCGTTTTTCTAAGTTTGCTTAAGTTATATTTCCTAGATATGTCAGTTATAAAGTAGTCAGCAACCTTACTTGAGCAGGATCAGTCGTATAATCAAAACTGACTACAACTATTTTCCTATACAGTTTTGCCTGCTAAAGAGGCTTGTGTGAGAATAACCTTCAAAAGAAAGGTACCCAACATTGCAACAAATGTCCTCTCTGTAGAGATCATTACAAAGGTACTAACCACCTCTCTCTACCCTACAAAACACATCAACGCTTTGATATTGTTTCTCAGCACCTGAAATTAGTTATGGTCACATCTTAACAGCTCTTGAATTTTTTTTCATGGCTGATACCATTATGGAGGTTTGCATTCAGCTACCTCTTTCTCTGTGTTTGGCATCTTTATGAGTGAAACATATCTCATTGGAATTGAGAGAGGTTTCTGATTCTGAGATATTTATTGTGGATCGCTTATCATTGTTGGAATATGATATAACATGTATGAAAAGGGTAGGTATCATATAACTAATAACTTTCTATGTAAACTGAGTCATTAACGACTTTTACTAGATATAATAGTTAATATAAATTATAGAGTACACTGGTTTAAGATTGCATTGTGACACATGGTGTAGCTTCCGCACCAAGTTAGCCCTAAAAGTAGGGATGGTACATGGGACTTGATTAGTTCTCAGAATTTTGTATCGTAGAAAAAGGATGAAAAATCTGAAGTGTGATTTTCCTTTAAAAGTATGTACACAAGATTTTAACATCAAATTCGGTGTTTGTGATCTTATAAAGACAAACTTTTAACACTTCCATCCCTATCTTCATACATGATCCTTGTAACTTCTTGGACCAACAAAAAAACTAGAGAAGGCCCGGGGTTGAATTTATGACATAGCTTCTTGTTCTTTATAGTAGCTGCTACTTTGTCTATTTCGGACATTGAAAACTTGATAAGTTTTATTTTTTATATAAGGTTTAGTTAGTAACTTAGTATTGACAAGTTTAATTTGCATTTCTATTACATATAAGGAAAGAAACATGCTACTTTATCGAAGTTGCTGTATGTTGAAATATATTACCTTTTTTTTGTTGATTTATGCTAGCTAGAAAAAGACTTTATAGGTTCTTTTATACTTAGCAACCTTAGTAGGAACTGTATAGAGACTATCATTTTGCTATGCTACTTTCAAGTTTCCTGTGGATTTGCTCATGGGATGCGCCATCACGCACTATCGTTTTGGTATAGTTCATTTTTTGTGTTGCAGCAGCACCATCAAGTCTTCTACCAAGTAAAGAAGGTGGTCCAGGTGTTACTAAATTGATCAGTATATGCAATATAAACCTACAAGATAAGGCAATCTAATAATAAACTATTGAGAAACAACAGAGTTCGACGGAATGCGTACCGTGACAGTCTTCCATTAAGTAGCACGCTGAAAAAGACGCAGTAAATGAGGCTCTTTATTTTATGTTTTTGGTAGAAAAGATAAACATTTCATAGATATTTAAAAGTTTACATTAGAGTTTGTAGTAGGATGCATGAGATGCATCAACTGACGATACCTAAAACTAACTAGTAAACCCCCTTTATGGGAGCGATTTACATACACACCAGGGTGATTACCTAATACAACATTACTACTAGTAGATATAGTACTAGCTAAGGAACTACTATTACATAACACAGTACTTGATTTAAGTTGTCTTTGCCTAAGCATTCCAGCCTGATCTTGTTGATAAAAGGGGTTGACAAAAGGTGGAGGAGAACAAAAGCACACAACTATCTTCCACTTGCACTGCTCCATATTTGGCCAGACAGTCAGCAACAAAGTTTTGTTCTCTGTAGATGGTTTGCACTTTTGGATTATCCAGCTGTTGGAGTAGTAATTTGCAATCATTGATCAAATTAGTGTATTGTATAATAGGTGTATTTAGCATACCAAGTATTGCAGTTGCATCCGTTTCGATGATCAGTGGTGTGAGTTGGTGTTGGATAGCAATTTGTAGCTCCTTAAAAAGAGCCAGCAATTCTGCTTGAATACTTGAACCATTTTTTGTTCTCCCTGCAAACCCTAAAATCCATTTACACTGTTGATTACGAAACAACCCTCCAATGCCACAATTATGATGAGTGGTTGATGAAGAACCATCAATGTTTAACTTAAAGAATTGCCCAATTGGTGGATGCCATTTTATATAAAGAGGAATCAATTCAGAATTTATCTGTGTAGAATTTGTAAGGTAGTATATTTAGCAGCTTGTTTGTAGAGTAATGATATGCTCGATTTCATTTGTTGTCCCTCAAAATGATTTTTATTACGTATAACCCATAACTGCCACAAAGCAAAATGTAGTAGGGTAGAAAGGGGAATGCGTTTAAAATAGGGAAGTCTTTGTTCATGTACAAACTTATACCACCAAGAATTATTCTCAATATTCGTTGGATTTAGAATGTTTAGTGGTGGAATATTTAGGCCTGTCCAAATTGCCTTTGCGTTATGACATTCAAAGAAAATATGAGTTATAGTTTCGGGGATCAAATGACATTGAGTACACAAAGGTGAATGAATAATTCCTAACCTATTTAGATAGTCAGTTGTAGGAAGTCTACCATGACATAATAACCATATAAAAAAAGAGATTTTAGGCGGTATTTTAAGCTTCCAAATCCACTTGTAATTGAAGTAATTATTATTATTAGGTTGATTGAATTCAGTTATAATCGCATGGTACATAGACTTCACGGAGAATTTCCCATTATGAGTAAGTGACCAATAAAGTTGGTCATATCCAGTGGGCGACATTGGTAGATAAAGATTATTGATTTCATGTTGTAAAGAAGGAGATAATACAAAAGTTAGTTTATGAAGGTGCCATTTGTGATTTACATAGTAGTCGGACACTAGCTTGCTATCCTCACCTTTAGGAAGGGGTCCTGAAATATGATTGCAGAGTAAAGAATTCTGAGTTAGCCAAGGTTCATTCCAAAAATGAACATGTTTACCATTAATTATGTTCCATTTGTAACCTAGTCGACAGTGTGACTAACCCTTAAGAATATTGGACCATGTTCTTGAAGGATGCTGTTTTATTAAATGAGATGGCCTTAGATAAGTATGTAGTAAAACCTGGGCCCACAACTGATTGGGATTTTGGAAAAGCCTCCAAGCAAGGCTAGCATGCAAAGACTGATTCTTAGTAGTAAGATTTTGAATCCCCAATCCCCCTTTTTCTAATGGTTGTGTAACCAAAGACCATTTAATAAGATGTAATTTTTTCTTTTGAGGTGTAGTGCCCCAAAAAAAATTTCGTTGGTATTTATTAAGGGAGAAAATAATATAAGAAGGAAGTGTGATATATTGCATGATATGGTTAGGAAGGTTATTTAAAGTGGAACGAATTAAAGTAGTCCTCCCAGCCTTGCTTAAAAAGTGAGTTTTCCAACCTGCCAACTTAGCTTTAAAATTATCAATCAAAAATTGATAATCTCTTTTATTTGGTTTGGTATTAAAAATAGGAAATCCTAGATATTTACCAAAATTTTTCCCTTCAATCATATGGAAGAGATGTTTGATGGAATCCTTAGTATTAGTAGCACAATTTTTAGAGAAGAATATTCTTGATTTGTCAAAATTTATAGTTTCTCCTGAATGATGTGTAAATTGAGAAATGGTATTAGTTATGGATTGGCATGAATCAGGAGTAATTTTGGATAATAAAATAATATCATCTGCGAAAAACAGGTGTGATAATTGAGGTCCTTTATTACCCAGTGAAATTGGATGCCAAATATGATAGTCAACTTCTGAATTTATTTTTC